CCAAAGTGATAGCATTATGGATTTCAAAATCTTCCTTCGAGTTTTCAATAGTTGAGTTGGAGAGTTCACTTTGCTCTTGAATTTGTTTCATGAACCCCATAATCTGCTTAATTTGCTCCTCCAATTTACCCAACTTCTTGTTTTGATTTTGTGCGTCCTTGTTTTGAGTTTGGACTTCCTGCGTCAAAGTAGTAAGTAATTGAAAAATCGTATCATTATCGCTTGAATTACTTACATTGCTTTGGGCAGGTTGTGGTGGCTGCATGGGTGCTGTATAGAACTCCTCGTATGGTTGCCAATATTCTCCTTGTTGAGCCTCCTCGACTTGGTTTTGTGAGCCCTGCACCGAAGAAATTAATTCATTAAGAGCTTGATTATAATCTATTGACAAACCTTGGTTTGGTTGGGCATATTGTATATGAGGTTGTGGTGGATGTATAGACGTTGAATAGAACTCCTCATAGGGCTGCCAATATCCGTCTTGTTGAATATGTTGAGGTTCCCACCACATAGAGTTTGAATGATCACTCCAATCCGAATTGTAATTATTGGAAAACATGTCGTTCCTTGATTGATTATGATCAAATGTACCAACTCTTTGCATTTGGTACTCTTCCATAAGCTGTGACAAAAGGGAAGCACTATCAAGTGCCATGTCTTGCGTATAAAATCAACAAAATAAAACTAAAAATATATACACACAAACGAAAATAAAACAATCCAAGAGATTAGCAAAGTTGCTAATCCCCGGCAACGGCGCCAAAATTTGATGCGAGATTTATACGCACACAAATTAAACCCTCTTTTTGTCAATTGTAGTAAGTACGTAAGTAGGGATCGTTCTGGACCGGGGATTAGGAGGGATTGTTAACCACTTGGATTTGACTTCAAAAACGTAAAAACAAGTTTAAAACACTATAATAAACTCGAAGAATGCAAAACTAAAAGTAAGAAAGATTAAGACTAAAACTTAAACAAAATAAGGGGGGATTGGATTTGGACGACTTTAAACTAAAAATGGAAACTTGGAAACAAAACAAATTGTAAATATGGAATTGACGGAAATGAATGGATGGGAAGCTAGCTAAGGGGTTCATCTCCACATATGTTATACTTGCATACAAAACGATGTCTAATTGCTTTTCAATAAACCATGAATTCTCAACGCCCCGGGTTAATTAGGTCCGCTTAAATTAACCGTCAAGTTTTCCTTAAGTTAATGAATTGGATGATTGCATACGACAATCCAAAGCATTCCTCACAAGTTCCCTACATGAATTGCATAATAGAGATACAAGCAAGAATCATTAAGCATCATGAAAACTATAAGTGTTGACGAGGCATTCGTTACTATGATTGCATGAAACTTATGCCAAGAATATGTTTAACACGATTGTTTATAAGCAACCTCCACTACTTGTGAATATAAGTTCATAACTATTACGTGAAACTCACTTATATTCTAGCGTCAAATTCATGCATGAAAATTAAGCGTTCATTCTTAATAAACATACATAAATAGGTTATCAATCAAGCAGTTAAACAAATTGAATTCACAACTTATGAAACGTAATTAAAAGTAATCAAATCATATTACAAACATAAACATAGTTTCGAATCACCCCCTAGCTAAAGGGGGTTTAGTTCCTCATAACTTTGAAATCAAAGAAACACCTAAACATTCCAACAACTCAAAACTTTGAATTGTATGAACATTTAAGCACTCTTTTCTTCCATTTCTCATACGTACAAAACAAAGAGAATTAAAATGAAACTTTGAAATCAAAGAAACACCTAAACATTCCAACAACTCAAAACTTGAATTGTATGAACGTTTAGGCACTCTTCTCTTCCTCGTTGTTGTAGCACAAGGTTTAAGGATAGGTTGGTTGGGGGGATGGAAGTGTTGGGGAATTATGGAAATGGATGAGGATTGGTGGAAATGGAAGATGGTTTTTGGATTCTAAGGGAGAAAGGAATGTGTTTGTGGTGTGTTGTTGTGTTGTGAATGAGATGATATGTGAATGAATGAATGCAAGGGTATTTATAGGAGGAGTGGAGATGTATATGGCTATTTGTTTAAGGTGTTTGTGGTGTTGTGAATGATGAAAGAATAAAGGGTGCATGTGGGGTGGAATTGAATGAATGCAAAGTGAATGAATAATGAAATGGGAAAGCATGACCAAGGTGGAAATGCATGTGATGGGTGGGAACAAAGGGGGAAACATGGCACAAGGGTGATGTTGTTGATGTGTGAATGCATGTGTTGAATTGGTGGTGCAATGATGAAAGAATAAGTGCATGTGTGTGTTTTGTGTTGGAATGAATGTGGATGCATGATGAAGAGTTAATAAATAATGCATGTAGGGTTAGGAAATAAAATCATAACTTAAAGGGGGGATGATTAAAGGGTGTGTGAATGCATGTGTTGAATTGGTGGTTCAATGATGAAAGAATAAGTGCATGTGTGTGTGAATGGTGGTAGCTAGGGTGAATTATGATAAATGCATGTGGAATAAAGATGGAGAAGGTGGTGAAATGATGAAGTAGGAAGGTGGAAATGCATGTGAGATGTTCTTTGGAGAAAGGTGGATGAATGTGCATGTGAATTAAGTTGTGAAAGCATGTGGAATGTTTTAAATGGTTGAAATGTGTAGATGATTATGAGTATGATAAGTGATAAGTGTATGGTTATGATAAGTGATAAATGAATGATATGCTAAGTGATAAATGAATGATATGTTAAGTGATAAATGAATGATATGTTAAGTGATAAATGAATGATATGTTAAGTGATGATAAGTAATGATAGGTGGTTATGATAGTTTGGTCTTTAATTTCGTCCATTCCTTTTGCTCCAAATATAAGCTATCCAATCCAAGTCCGATTTTGCTCCAAAATGCTCCAAAAGGCATCCTTTTGCATACCTTGCCCTTAGAACCTGAAAACACACAAAAGAAGCATAAAGGACTAAAATAACTAGAGAAACATAACGTAAATGCACGAGAACAAGCCTTTTAAGTCGCATGAATATGCTCCTATCAGTTATGTGCCACAAACTTGGATTAACTCATTTTTTAAAAATATTTGTTGTCAGTTTTTTTTATTATTTTATCTTTCTTTGTGCCCACACTCTGTAAGAGACTCTGCATTCAAATGTTTTTATAATATTTTATTGTATTCTGTGCCACAAACCGTGTTCTGTGCCACCTACTACAGGAGACTCGGCGTGGAAGACAAAAAGCCAAGCAAAATCAAAAATTAAAATAATCAAAAGGCAAAGCAATGGGGATAGGTGGGTTTCACACAATTTTTAATAATTATTTTATCCATGCATTCAATGTTTTTATAATTTTTTATTGTGTTGTGCGCCACAAACCATGTGGCCTAATTTTAGTCATATTTTTTAAATAATTTTTTGTCAGTTTTTTAATTAATTATTTTATCTTTCTTTGTGCCACAACTTGACCATCATAGACACGCAACCTGAGAGGACAAAGGATGATCAACACGTGGCAATCATGGACAATACATGTATTTTATTATGTGAAGCAGACAGCAAAACGATAATGAACCGAAAAAATCAAGGGCATTTACGCCCTTTTACTATTGCTGAACAGTGCTAAAACTCAACTGAGTTTTAGTATACATAATTTAGGAGCAAGTTAACAATTGTCAGCATTGACCTCATTATCCCACAAGCTAAAACATAATAACTTGCCAAAAGCAGAAGAAAATCAGCTGTAATGTTGTTATCATAACTTAGCAAAAATATCAAAAAGGCAGTTTCGTTCAATGTGTGCAAACCCGTTGAAATTTGTCAATGCTAACTATATTAGTTAAAGCATAGAATTTGCTACCTCACATAACTTTGGCGGGTCACTTCCAAATTTTTTTAATACACTATACACATATAGCAGTTTTAGGTGGAACTTTGATTAACCTTTTATCTTGTTCTCAACTAAGTTCAAATAATGGTGCTTATTTCCCACCTGTGGTTCTTCTTGTCCCAAATGAAGTTTTTGTAATAACATTGATGCTTCTACCCACAATGGATAGTCACAGTATGCCATCTTAATTTTATGAATCGCCGTACATTAGACATGATATATGCAACACTATTATTCTAGTTTTGACCTTCTCCCGCATCTCATTTTTTATATTCCATCTAACATTATGTTTTAAGAATGAATATGATTCACCACCATGTGGAAGTTATGAAAAGTTGAGCTATATTATTAGATATAACAATTAGCGAAAGGCCACGAGCTTATCGACAGAATGCGCATAAACTACTTACAGTCATAGGGTTAGGATCTCCAAATTCCAGCTATTAATTTCATGGCACCAAACGAGTGCCATGGGGGACAAGTAAACTCAGCTACCGAGATCTATATATACTGTTCAAAAAAACCTGCCTAAAGCTGTCTATGCCCGCCTTGTTCAGGCGTTGGGCAACTCACCCCCCGCCCCCTCTCTCCCATCCTCAGCGATTAATCCCTAGGCATTTGAAAATTAAGAATGAGTGCCTAGACCTACTTAGGCATCCACCTAACCTGTCCAGGCACCCACCTAGGCCAGGACTCTCATTTATATAGAAAATTGATAACTTTTATTTTGTATTTTATTTTTTTTCAATAAAATATAAGAGACTTATTGAATACTCGAATAAACACTGATTATATGCTTGTTCCCCCATGTTCTCAATTTGTTTTAATAAGTTATAATTTATAGGTCATTTTAAAATGCAATTTATTTATTCCAATACAATTATGTATCTTTTTAAATATAAATGGGTACTTATTTATATGATATATAATAAATTTGCTTAAATACGCGTAGTTCGTCTAGCTGCTTAGGTGCTAGCCCCCAGCACGCTGTCTGACTAGTGCCTAGCATCCTTTAAAACCTTATCTGGATATATAGCAAACAGAAGATAATAAACCGGATATGAATAACAATATGTCGTTGCAATACAGCAGTAAAATGCTCACTTTTTTCTACAGGATCATAAGATTCGAATCATCAAAAGGCAAGTAACCTGCAAGCAATACAAAGAGTATCACTCCACATGACCACAAGTCCGCAGTTGCCCCATCATAGCCTCCACCGTTGAGGACCTAAACTAACAAGGGTACATTTTTGCAAGATTAAGAACCTACGGCGTAGAAAGATAAATATACATAAGGTCCAAGAAGATTGGAATGAAACACATCCATACCTCAGGAGCAACATAATTTGGAGTTCCACAGGTAGTGTGAATTAACCCATCATCCTGCCAATGTGTCGCAGTAAGAAATAAATGTTGGACATTTAAGATGCATCATCTCATTCCCAAATGCACCAACTAACTAGAACAAGATGTACATGTGCATCACAGATTACAGTGTTGATGTAAATGATAAAATGAGGCAGAGACTAAATTCCATATGACTCCAATCATAGAAAGTGTTCGAACAATTTTAATAATTTCTAGAAATTTGACACCCGCTTCTGTAAATAGTTACTTAAGATCTTTATACCGACCATCCGGACAACAAAACTAACATAAATAAGATCAAATGATAGTTACATATGAACGCTGAAGGAAAGTGAACTGGAGTGGCCTAATATCATTTATACCCTGACTTGTTGGGATAGTGCACTCAATCCGAAATCAGAAACTTTAAGGTTCCCACATGCATCCAATAGCAAATTTTCTGGCTACAAGAAAAGCAATTAAATTGAAAATTAATTAACATTTTACCGTATTTTGTATTTTTTGATATGCACGTTTGCTAAGCATAAGTACCTTCAGATCTCTATGATAGACACCCCTGCTATGGCAGTAATCAACTGCGTTAATAAGCTGTTGGAAATATCTCCGTGCTTCATCTTCTCTCATCCTTCCATTGTTTACCTTCATATCAAAAGAAGTTTTAGTGAGAAATATGAACTCCCTCCCAAATAATCACCAGAGCTCGAAACTGATTGGTTTATCAAATTCATGTTCACAAATGAGTGAGCAAGGCAACTTGGTAATTGAAGAAAATTTAGGATGGGAATGTTAGGCTGCAGGTTTAATTCCACTATGTGATTTATTTTTCTAAATTGACAATACACTATTTATAGAACACAACCGGAAGAAAATTGTCACTAACAATTTTGTCAAAGAGCTCCCCTCCAGTTACGAACTCCATAACTATAAATATCTTTGTCTCACTCCCCATTACCTGAAAATACACAAAAGTATTAATACAATTTACATTGGTTTAAAGTAGATTTGTGTTATTGTTTGTGTGATTTTTTAGTAGCCTTATCCCACTTAGTGGAGTCGGCTATATGAATCAAAACTGAGGGGAGCTACCCAACTTTGTCTTTCTAGCCTAATGTCGATGCTCTGAACCCATATTTCATATCCGTTCAATGTAATTCAGTTGTATGAGCTGTATTTTGTAAAGTTTTGCCACTTAGCCATTGGGGTAGAGGAAGATCCAACCATTCGATCATTATGAAAATTTAGTATGTTGTTGTGCTTATGATTTGAGAATCTTAGGAATTCATGGATAAAAAATCCGAGGTACAAATCTTCAGAATTGGATTACGTAGGGTTGTTGACCTTACTGTTAACCACGTTGACCGAGGGTTGACTTTTGGTCAAATTGGTCCAAATCAGTCTTAAACGCTGAAGTTAGCATTACCAAGGTACCAATGGAGCCGAGTGGGCTACCTTAGTTAACATATTGTTGGAAATGTGCCCTAAAACCAATCATATGATGATACTTTACGGACATTTCAAACTAATGTAGTTTAAATGTAAAGGGCAAAGATTATTGTTTGAGCCGTCTCATATAAATGTTATATGCTTAAACGATAAGTCCAAGGAATATGTGATTGGAAGAATGCGATCTAAAGAAGTTAGATTCATGAGACCATTCTTTCGTTGACACATCCTAAACGTTCCTGATCATAGGATTGTCAATTGGGCATTGACAGTCCGTTAAGATCAGTACGTGCTATGTCTTCTCTCAGGGAGAGTGACTAGTCTCGAGTCATTGGTGTGTGTGACATCAAGACAAGTACGTAGGTGCTCAATAGAGAATGAGTTCATTGAACACGATCAACGAAGAGTTCTCATATTCATGTCACATGAGAACTCATGGTTGGGATAATGCAAATTAGTCTTTTGACCTGAGGCATCACAGTTGTCTTGTGGTTAGGTCCTTAATCTTTGATTATGTCAAAGTCACTCCATCAGGAGGGTGTCCACGGCATCGTTGGGGTTAAGCCACTTAGCCATGGAGGCAAGTGAATGTGCAACAAGGGATCTCTAAACTTCAAACTGTTTGAGGGAGAATACTCTATGATATGATTAAGAATCTTTGGCCAAAGTATGAATGAGATTTAGGAATGTGTTCCAAATCACATTCAAGGTAATCATATAAGCACAAGACTCACATTGGATAGTAGACATGAATAAACTATCAAACCAAACAATGTGGTCAAGAGTATTGTATTAGAGAAAGACCGTATTGCATTTGTAATCCTAAAACTGAATAGGTTCTCCACCTCTTCTGATTAGCTTGGGTAACCATGACATGCTGCTAGGCGTCAACCATGGTTTGTGGAAGCCCTAAAAGTGTATTATCACTAACGGGAGAATTGAAAGTAAGTTTCAATTCACAATCGATTTGAAAGAGTTTGAATCGCCCACTGCCTCGCTAAAAGGAACCTAATGGATCGTACACCGTGTAAGGTAAAGATTGAAGATTCAACGGAGATGAGTAAGAATAATTAAATGGTTTAATTGTTTATGGCAAGGATTAATTAATATGATTATTAATCAAACGAATAAGTTCGTTAAAAGACCTCGGGATAGTTTTGGACCTTAAGGCCCAATGGGCTTCGAACGTCAAGTCCATTGACTTAAGTTGTATGACAACTTAATGAATAATGATTCACAAAGGCCCAAATAGCCCAATAAATCCCATATGGCCGGCCATTTAGAGGAGGGTAGTGAACTTGGCTTAATTGCAAGTTTGCCACTCCATTGTGAGGTGGTATAAAGACATCTTTATAGCCATTTCATCCTAAGGGTTTTTCTAAGGAGTAAAGATGAGAACACAAACTCTCCTTTTCTCTCTAGAAATGGTCGGCCACCCTTGAGGAAAACATCTAGCAATCTTACTTCCTCAAGGTCACTCATTTCTTCTACAATATGCCTTGGTGTGGAGACTTAGAGGTTCTCAATTTTGGGAACTTGGAGAAACCTTTTCATCCATCCAAATCCATGGATCTAAGATGCAAGGAATGAAGGCCCTCTCTTTGGGTGATTAGCCTTTGCTTATGCAAAGAGGAATCTACAAAGGTATTGATTTCTCAACTCACTTTGTTTTGAGTTGAGTCTTGGTTCACCTATCTACTAGGCTTTGAAGTTCATGGGTTAAGTTTTGTTTTTGAGTGCATATAAACATGATTCCGCCTTTTAATTGTTAATTGCATGTTGTTGATGTTGCTCAAATGAACTTGTTTTTCACAAATCTTCCTTCAGGGAAGTGGTCCCGTCCTGGGCCGAGATGTGACATTGGTATCAGAGTCTAACCCTGGTCGCGAGTGTGCCGACGAGGACGTCAGGCCCCTAAGGGGGGTGGATTGTGACATCCCACATCACCCAGGGGAGTGATCCTTAAATGTATATCCCATCCCTACTTAGCACAAGGCATTTTGGGAGCTCACTGGCTTCGAGTTCCGTAGGAACTCTGAAGTTAAGCGAGAAGGGGGCTAGAGCAATCCCATGATGGGTGACCCACTGGGAAGTTGCTCGTGACTTCCCAAAAACAAAACCGTGAGGGAATGGTAAGCCCAAAGCGGACAATATCGTGCTACGATAGTGGAGTCGGGCCCGGGAAGTAGTCCCGCCCCGGGCGGGGATGTGACACTTTTGATGTATGTCAACTAATTATTGTAAGTAAATTGCCTCCAGTTGTTCAATCATTTAATAACAAGAATCATTCAAACAGAGAAAGCAGAACTACTTGACATTGCATATTAAAATTCATTAAAGCTCAATTCACATCATTATGCTCGATAAAAGGAATTACGGAAGCTCCAATAGAAAAAAAATATTTCGAAGATGAACCTGTTCTCATTCAATAGTTAGGAGTTCTTGACGATATATGTCAAAAGGAAAGGTGCTGAGTTGGAATCTCATTCTAACGAAGGATTATTGTAGTTCTAGATGATCATATTAATAGTTATATTGACAATTATCTTGGTTCTCAAATTTGTGTTGATAGTTATATTTAAGCAACATTAACAATTACAGTGACAACTAAGTTACATTTGTGGTGAATATGGCTTAAAACCTAAAATTTTTAGCCCAGAAAATTTAGGTTTTAACCGAGAAACAACTTTTTTGTTCCAACCCTTTTAACCTAAATTTTTTAGCCCGAAATTATTAAAGAATAAATTTAGGCTAAATTTTTCTTTTAAGTAAATTTTTTTTTTTAAAAAAAAAAAGTTATGTACACTATCCTAATTTAATTTTATGAACATTTTAACCAAAAAATATTTAGATTCCGATAAATATTGAAAAATCACTAAATTTTGGTGAAAATTGAGTTAAATAATTTTTTTAATTATTTTAGCCATTTGTTAAATTTGGGTCGTTAGATTTTTTTTTTTTTTTTTTTTTTAACCTCACATCATTTTCTGGACTAAATCCTGGGCTATTTCTGGCTTTGTATTAGGTTTTAGGTCTAATTTTCCACTTGGGTTGCAATGGATTGGGGAGGGGGGGGGGTGGGAATAGAAGGGGAAAAATAGGCTTTAGCACTTGGGTTGGAGTTGGTCTTATAGAAAGGAAATCCTTTCTCAGTTATTATAGGCAAAGCCCCAAAAATATGAGTGCAACTTCTAGAGATGACATATCCCTATAAAAACTGTAATTTTTAGTCATTCCGTACCTTGCCAAAAAAACCGATCCTTGTTTAACAACCACACATTGTCTAACCAATTCTCACTCGATATGTTCCTCAAAATATCTAATTCGTGCGGATTCTTCCCCCAACTAAAGAAGAGCTCTTGGCAGAATTGCCGCATAAGGACCACTACTACAAATGGTACTACACCCTTGATCGTCAAATATCGATTGCTTGTTGAACCCTGTAAATGTGAATTGCGTGAAAGTAGGATACTCCAAATTCGGGAGTCCGAGAGTTTTATAAAACGTTCTTGATGGAAAAAAATGTGAACAATAGATCCCACTGAATTAAATTTGGTCCATGAATCTAAGAAATAGTGAGAATTCTGAATCTCTCTCAATTCGAAAATCCAAGATTTGAATTGATGTCCTTTCATTTAGTCCTCCTAAATTGCATTAATTTATCCTAAAGATTTTATTTCAGTTGGAATTTTGTTCGAAAATGGTTGAAGCACTTGAATAGGAGGATCACTCTGACTATAGCCCTTGGTAAGTTTAACAAAGACGAAAATGATATATTTGACATTATGGATGACTGGTTACGGAGGGACCGCTTTGTTTTTGTGGTATTTCTGAATACAAGCCAAAAGTATTGTAGCCCAAAAGCCTAAGCTGCAAACATGTACTTAAAAATGAAGCCATTACCGATTTCAAAGTGACACAACAGCACCCATTAAACAACCCTCCTAAATTGAACGTCGACAAATGGCTCTACTTACTCCAAATACTTGAGAATATACTGCTCAATAAATCAGCAGCTTATGCATGAAGTTATCAAGCCCAAAAATTAAGTCTATTCACAGCTCATCCAGCATTGGCCTCCGAAAGGGGTAAAAGTTGGAGCTCAACTCAGAACATAAGGCACAGTACAGATCATAAACCATATACGCCATTCTCAATATACTCGGTTACTGATAGTTTGGTAAAGAGACCTTAGCTGAGTGTTCCATTTATCTACGGCAGCATACTTCTTCATTCCCTTTGACCTACACAATGTTCACATATGAATCAGTGGGAATCGACAAGAGAAAGCATTAACATCTACCATGATCCATTATGCATGGATTACGAATTAAAAAGTACAGAGTCAAGGAAACAGACCTGTCACCACGCTCTAAGAGCCGGTTCACCTGATCAATATGTCCATCAATTCGGTTATCCAATATAAGTGAAACCAAAAGTTGCTCCACATCTTTCTCCGGAACATTAAGTTCCTGAACATCAACAAACTTTAGTAAGTTTACAGGT